CAGATATTCACTATAACCAATCAGTGTGAGCAAAACGTTAAAATAATCCATCGGAAGGTTATTGTTCTTTCAGGTGAAAGCATATTGGCAGTACGGCAAAGCGAAATGCAAGACGTGCTTCGGCTGATCAGCTCCTCTCCTCATTCAACGGCGGATCCAATAAGGGATCACACAAAATTGTTTTTAGAGGTAGGGTTGTCCTTACTGGAGTATGTCTAAAAATACTCATGGAAGATTCCAGTGCATCTGTGATGGACTTGCGAGAAATGTCGAGGAGTTGGAGGAGGTGCTGCGATTCACTCTATCCAAACCGCTACGAAATGTGGAGGACGCGCTATGTGATTTGGCTGCGAATCGTTTTGTAGATGTTCAAGAAACGAGTAAAGGAGACGAACGCTGTACGTTCTGCTCAACCGGTCTATCCTCGCCGCTGTTGTAAGTAAATCTTGCAGGTTCGCTATTATCGGCTACTCAACTGGGCAGAGCTGCACTGGTATCATCTCTTCCTCCTGATGCAGCATTGTTTGTGTTTACTGATCTTCAGCAAGCCACTAAAGCAATTGCTCTCGACACAGAGCTTCATATGCTGTACCTGGTGAGTTAAAGGAGGAATTCACGATAAGAACGAAGGTCAAAGAAGGGGAAAATTGCATAGTTGGGAGACAGGCGGACCTCCTGAGGGTGCTGACCGCGCAATTGGCAGCGAAAGATTTGACCTCGGCGATCTAGCATGGCTCACTCTTGGCGCGGTTGGCGGGGTACGCCCACCGACTATCTAATCACTCGCCGCAGGTCTATACGTGGCGAGTGATTAGATAGCAGAGAGAGCGTAGTGTTGAAGAGGGCACAGCGATGAGAGTCGCATCAATGCGCAAATCAACGGGCAAGGAAGGGTCCCATTTCTCGGGTTTCGGGCCGTTTCAATGGTTTCTTCTTCATCCCTGCTCCACTGACCACCTCTACCCTTATTTCCAATAAGCTACCTTTTCATCGTAAATCTGCCTTTAACACGTTGACGACAGGGTGACGCGCATGCGCGTCAGAAATTTGACACCGCATCGGACATTCTGACGTCAGAACCTTACGTTATTTTTATCTGCGCTCCTCTTCTCGAGTTTTTGTATTCATTCTATAGATAATACATTAGCATAACTATGAACCACATAGCCGCCAGAGTGGTAAAATATGCCTTGATTTAGCAAAGATTTCTTAAACTTACCGAATTTTCAGTTTCAATTCTTCCTTAAGTTTCCCTTTCACTGTCGTAAACATCCATATGAAAGATTATAGAAGAAGTTAATACAAAACCCTCTATTTCAAGTATTGATTTGCATGGGAACTGAGGTAAAGATCTAACTTTCATTTTCAGCAAAAAGGTTATTTCCTGCTCTGCCTTGTCATATGCTCCCTCTAAACAAAATTTGCTTGCCATCTAATACTTAACGGTAATCTCCAAAAACAATTTCATGCCTTGCTTAATACCCCTAAAGGATAAAAGGTTCAGTTTGGGCGTTTGAACAGAAAATAAGCGGAGGTAAGGTGAGGACGGCGCGCTCGCAAAATCGCTCCTGTCACATGCGGTGCAAAATGCCAAAACACGCGATGTCGTCAACGTGTTAAATCTTCCAATGAAAAGAATAAGTGCAAGAAGGATAGATGATTTCAGGTAACTCCAACAAATTGTTCTGTATGGCAAGGATGCGATTGGAATCATTTGCACGGTATTTTCTCAAAACTCTCGAACCGGAGGAAAAACGATGCAACGTTGGTTCGTTAATAATTGAATTGTCATTACCTTGTAAGCAGAAGTGTTTGGCACATGTCACGACGTTAGACGAACGGCATTGGGAAGCACACGCTCATCAGACAACCGGCTAGCAGCAGCGGAAAGGGAAGAAGATAGTTCGGTGTAAATGGGGTTTGGGTGTAGGGGGTCCTTGTTATCGTATCCTTACAAGAGGGTGCTCCTTCCAGGTTTTCTCACACAGGGTATGATAGTACCTAACGCCTCACTTGAAGTGTACTTTTGATAAGAACCAGTGAATGTCTCCATCTCACGCATCCTACCCATATCCTACCCAATTTTTTTGCGAGTGGTCATCCACCTGAGGCTCCTCCATCTAGGGCTATGACCGATTCCATGCCCTGTGGTTTCAGACCATTTCCTTGGATCATTTTGACCTCGTTAAAGCACCGGAGAGTTGATTACGTTGTCATAGAGGCGCTCTATCGCTTCACCTTTCAGTATTCAAGAATGAAAGTCCCACCCCCTTCTCCTTAACTCCGACTTTACTGCTAATTCTTGTGTACGGTAACCAAAATTAAGAACTCAAAAATAACTGCCCTCTGTTTACATCAGCTCGTTCAACTACTGTGATCGTATCGCGACTGATGGTGTATACATAGTTGGACGCTTTTCATAATGTTCCCTTTTCATCTCATAAGTTGGAAAACGACTTTTTTATATGATCTTGTGAGAAGTGCTCAGTCAGGGCGCGACCATAACTGCAACTAAAATTGTGTACATAGTTTTAGCAACGATTTTCATGAGTATTCTCAAAAATATACGTAAAGGTCTAATGTTGTAGTGTAGGAGAAAACCGTTAGTATATTTGTAAATGCACATATTTGGGATACAATTGATTTCCCTAACGAGGTATTGTCTTCAGGTTGGTGCGAATGACCGCTTCATCGTCTCACGTCTGCGAAGCTCGAGCACTTCGTCGTCCGATCGGAGCTACCAGGTTACTGACTGATGAGTTTTACGAGTTTTGGAATGAGACCAATTATGTGATTTTCAGCTCCATTTACGCTTCTTCTCTGCACTTGCCCTATTTGATGTTGTCAATGAGAAGCCGATTGATGAGGTAGCTCGTCGATTCAGAATCAGCCGTGGCACTCTTCAGACCCTTCAGCAACAAAGTGCCACTTATGCCGGTTCGTTTAGCCTATTACAGTAAGCGTCAGTAGACGACATGCATGTTCGCTCACATCGTTTGCAACTCGCTCGCAGCTGTGGTGAGTAATTGGCCTCTGTCCCCTGTGTCCAAGAATTGCCTCCGTTAGACTGTTGATTGGCTCCGTTAGGCAAGAGCAGGGCGATGTGCGCACAATTGTCCCATAAATACGTGATGGCTGAAACTAGCAAGATGTCTTCTGTTGGAGTTCGTAGAATACGAAAAATTGAAAAAAGATTTTTGGAGCCCAGTTAGGGCTGAATATTTCAGCTATGGTCGTCGCATTTTGTTCTCGCCTTGGCTGGACTTACCTGTGTGACCTTCTCAAGGGCTTCGCTTCCCGGTTGGCGTTTGGAGTACGAAGGGAACTCACGGAACTTGTTTCCATTGCAGGAATCGATGCCAGTCGGTACGTATGTTCCAGGTGTCGACCGTAACCTCCTTCTATAATAAATATGAAATTATTTTTAAGAGCTAGAGTTTTTCACGAGCACGACATCACCTCCATGGTGGAGCTGTCGAACTGTACGACGAAGAAAATCTCCGATGTCTTGTCGTTAGCGGTACCATTCAATAGGTTCGCTCTTTATACATTCTTCAATCGAGTTAAAGTTTATTTGGACATGGTTTGCTTCATGACTTCATATAATCCGGTCATGGTATGTCTGTAGTTATGGCTTGCCTGTGTTTTCATTCACTTCTTTCGTGGGATACTGTAGGTGATGGGCAGTCGTGATTGGCTCAATTGGCGTCGCGAATCGTGCGTGTGTGTGCCTAATTGTTCGTGAGCGAGACACCCGTATTGAGGCCGAGAACGCGGCAAGAACGTCCCATTTAACGTCGATTGAAGAAATACAAGGTCTCTTATTTTTATTACTGGTGTGGGGATCTAAAAAGAGGATCGAAGTGGTGTGAAATGGTCCCATTATTTTTCATGCACAAGATACCTCTTCGGAAAAATTTCATTAGGAGAGTCATTTATTACAAATAGATGTTTGAAACGTAAGTCTTCTAATGATAAGCTGTTTTGTGACAAATAACCTCGATGTTTGCTGAAAGAAAGGAGAAGACAAGGCTGAAATTGACTGAAGCAAATACATTCGCTGTAATGTTGGGTAGAGCACAGTAAACAAACAGAGCTTCATGAGTTATTGAGTTGGGCATCAGGGAACGGCTCAAGTTTGCCACAATGGTTAGATCTATGAAAATATCACCCTCATCCCTTCAACGCATCCGCTCATATTTTATTACCAATCGTACCTGAAGGGATTTATGATAGCAATGTGAAAGCGCGGCGGCCATTTTACCCCAACTTCAGTGTTAATTGGCCTTCCCATCCGTTTCGCATACCGGTAATTGAAAAATAACTTTTAAAACGCAGAAATTCAATTGCAGCGCATTGTAGTTTTCAAGTTCAGCTGCCCTTTTTGTTGGCAATTAGTGGCAAATACCAGTATAACTGAACGCTGAC